GCCATGGTCCATGACTCACGACCGTAGATAAGCATGGGGATAAAGATCGACTTGAATATCGAGAGCTTAGTTTTCAGACTAAGCTCTGCTATAATCACAATAGCTGGCGCTAATTCATGCAGAACGCCACGGGCTACTCCAATTCACCGGTCGATTTCTTCCTCAAATTTTCCATCACTAGTAAAAACAATTCCGAGGTACTTGAACTTCCCCACCTGCTCCACTGCCTCTCCGTTAATCTGAAGAGAGCAACGGACAGGAGAACAAAAAGCAGTAGCCTTTTCGTTTTAGCTGCGTTCACACGCATGCCGGTCACGTCACTCTCGGCTGCGAACTTTTTTAGGGAGTACTTTAGAAGAGTTTCAGAGGATACCACTAAAACAACGACCTCTGCAGGCACAAACATTTTCGTCTCCGTATCTCCTCACTGGACTAAGCCTTGGCGGTGACAAGTGGAAACACTGAAAGGCTTCGACTTAACGCCATTTATTCTGACTCAGCACCTGCTATTAGCAAATAGTGACTAGATAGCCCATCACAAACGGCCATCGATCCAGTATGTTCGGACGTATGCCCAAAGAATGTTGCGCGGGATCCGATCATGGGCTCTCCATAGGTCAACAAAGTACATGAACTCCGGATGGGCGAACTACCACGATTTCCCAACATTCTGACGCAGGGCAAACATGTGGTACGAGGTGCTTCGATCGGACCGGATGCCACACTGCTCTCGTGTCTTGGAGTCAGTTATTCCGCGGCACCTTCTAGAACCTCTTTGAGTAAACTTAACATGGGAGGGTCGATAAGGTAATGCTCCGATAATTGATGCACTCCCTGTGGTCTCCCTTTTCGAATACGGGTACAGCAGCTCTTGTTCTCTAATCCGCTGGTGTCTTCCCCGTAGTCATTGCGGTTTGGCAGACAAGTGTAAGGCAGTACAAGCCTTGTTTATCTAACGCTTTGAGCATTTCAGCGCGGATTTCATCAATTCCAGCAGCATTTCAAGCTTTTGACAGCTTGAGTAATTTCATCTACAGAGAAAGTAATATAAGTTCCCTGCTACTCTACAGACGAGTCTTCCTGCGGTTGCTCGGGATTAAGGAGTTCCTCAGACTACTCTCTCCATCGCCGAAAAATGTCCTCAACCTTGGTAAGAGGGTGTCCAGATCTATCCTTCAAGACTCTGAGACTGCCCTACTTTTCACCATGGAGCCGGCGAATGGTCTGCCAAAATAACATGTTTGCTGTGTGGACATTCGACTCCAACATTTCTCTGCACATCTCCCTGGATTACAGTTTTGGGTTTCGCCACTGCTTTCGCTATCGTGTTGCGTCCTTCGACATATCGCACGCGAGTAGAAGACTTTTTGTTTCCAAGCCATTTCTTGAATGCAGCATTCTCTTTAACTGCCAGTTGTACCTCACGTGTCCACCAGGAAGTTCTTTTCTGACCTCCATACGACAGGCCAACTCATTTAAATGCGCAGCATTCGGCGGCAGCCTTGAGTATGCCGCTCTTAAAGAGCTGCCACTCGGTTTCAACACCAGTTGTCATCACTGGGATCTGTTCAAACCGTCTTGCGATGTTGTCTGCAAATTTTGCTCTCGTGTCCACCGAAGACAATGTTTCCCATTTGATTCCCCCATCCGGTTGCTTCTGCCACCAGATCTTCTTATGGTACTCCATTTCTTACAGCGCAGCGTGCCAACAACAAGGTGATGATCGGTTGATGGCTTTGCACCTCTCTTAACGCGAACATCCACTACCGAGCGTTTTAAGTCAGACGATAA